GCAAACTACAAATTGATTTGCACGACTCCACTTAACAACTCACCCCACGCATAGGATGGTTGGAGACACACTGGTCACTGAGACAGACCCTTGGCTAGAAGCTTTCCCCACCACGTCGTAGGGCCGTTGGGTAAGTCGCCTATGTCTAATCAGCTGAAAACTTCGGAAAAGTTTCGGTTTCGAGATTCGATCACAAAGTTTCGAGATTCAAAAGTTTCGAAATTGAAGATTTTGGCAGTTTTATTTTTGAAACTACTGACATTTTTTGTGCCATTGTTATTATTTTTTAGCCTTAAATTTATTTTTAAGTAAATTTTATTCTGAACTTCAAAAGGTATCTTAAATACTATAACTGGTACAATTCAGTTTCACATCAATATTTACTAAATGCAAAAACAAATATTGACCACTAAATGTTCTAATTAATTTAATATTCATGTTTATGTTGGTGTTAGAAGTTTAATTATTTGTTTTGTTAGTTGTTTATAAAAAATTATTTTTGGGATTTAAGATTATCAGTCACATTCACATATTTATGTTTTGTCATGGTCAGGAATTGATCTCTTTCAGTTTTGATTGCATACTTAACATTTTATGATTATGTGTATTTTTTGTAACCTTGACCTTTGTAACCAGCTAAGTAAAAAAGTTTCGCGTTTAGGTTTTGAGATTCGAGATTCGGGATTTGATTTTTTTAAAGTTTCGGTTTTGAGATTCAAAATTTCTGGTTTAGACCATCACTATTGCATCACATTCGGTACAAAAGAATGAAATTTAAATTTTGCTTGTCGCTTGTTTTGGGCGACACACCAAGCCTTAGTTGCAACCCAAACTTGAGCATAAATGGGGCCTAAGGTAAATATCTAGGGTTGGCAGCGCCCGGAGCAAACATGGTTGTGGCGCCCCCTCCCCCCCATTAATAATAGTCGCATTCACATATTTTAATCAATTTTATGTATAGATAATGAGAAAAAAGTTATAAATGAACATAATATTTGTATTAGCAAGCCTATTCTTTAAATATAATAATCTTAAAATTTGGTTGTCCGGATGCAGATAAACTCCTAGGGAGGAATTTGGAAATCCATTAGCCTATGTCTTACTGGGATAATTATGAAGTACTTTTATTTAAGGACTGGTGGTCTTGGTTGTGTTACTTACTTTTTTAAAAGGTGAAAATCAATATGATTAGGCTCAATAATGGAGTGTATTTTAATATTTCATAAAGAATAATAGGCGAGCAGCATTAAACATTTTGGTTTATAAAATATTTCTTAGATAAGGGTAGGGACCTTAATAAAACACAACAATGAATCATAATAGGTAGTCTATAAATTGGAGAAAGTTTTACTGTTTAAAAAATACTTCTTACAACACAATTGAAATAAATAAAGATTATAAGGCGAAGTTAATAGCCGAGCAACCCTTCTGCATTCTTCTGTCATGATATCCTGAAACAAATAAACAATAACTCAAAATTGTTATCAGAACTAAATAGAGAAAGGGGTGTCTTGTTAGCTTGGTGGTTAATTTATGTCCTGGACTTTGCTGCAAGAGAAATTGAGATTGACTTAAAGGATCCTTGCACAAGGTGAGAGGATTCAACATAATTTTTCCATGGATATTGCACACACTTGCCCAGCACAGCACAAACCTGCTAACAGCAGGCTACTATTAAAATTAAAGTAAAGTAAAGTACTGTAGAACCAAATCAGATTACGCTCTTGTGTCCACCATAGCACTATAGAACACCAAAGAGCACTAAACGGTTTTCATAGTCTTTTATCAATTAAGAATTAAATGTATCCATTCAAATACATACAAATTATAACCCAGTGAATGATTGAAATACATGTCATGATGAAACCATACAGCGGTAGCCCAAGTACGGCTTCATCATATAAAATCATATGGTAGTTGGTCTGACCATACTTGGCAGGAGTAGAGTGGCCAGCTGTGCTGCGGTTAGCGTATATTCCGGCGCCGACCGCCAGGGGTAATGTGTAGTTACGGCGCACACCGCTGCAGCATCAAGCGCTAGCGACCGTTTCCATAACAACTTGGTAGTTGGGAGTAGTGTTGCCAACTTTGGAGGAATCCCCCAGAATTGGAGTTTATTGACTTATTTAATATTAAGCAATAAATTAATTTAAATGCCATCTTTTATTGTATTTTTTTTAAACATATATTTGTTATACTTTTGTAGTTTCATTACAATTGTTACATCCTAAATGTCTATCTTTACTTATTTACTTAAATTTATTCTATAACTATTATCAGCTGGTTATAATGTTTACATGTTCACTTTGTTTTTAATATGTGTTGAATAAAGTTGGTTAAAATTGTACCTTGATAAATACATTTATTATTTGTTCTAAATACATACAGAACAATTTGGCGACGATGGAGGTGAGTACAAGTAATTCAAATACCTCTCAAAACATTCAAATGATTAACTCAGCATTGATTGGGCCCTTCAATGAAAGATATGAAACATGGGAAATGTATATGGAAAGACTAGAGATATCATTCATTTATAACAACATTTCGGAAGATAAAAAGAAAATTACGTTACTTCACTGTATTGGATCAGACACTTACAGTAAACTTAGGGATATATTGCATCCTGTATCACCTATAACTAAATCCTATGCTGAATTAGTTCAAACTCTTAATTCACATTTTACACCGAAACCAAATGAAGTATCAGAGACATTCAAATTTCATTGTAGACATCAATATGAAGGAGAAAACATTTCTGAATTTTCATTGGATCTTAGAAAGTTGTCTAGATATTGTAATTTCGGCACATTTCTGTCAAAAGCCCTGAGAAATCAATTCATACTCGGACTAAGGGATGAAAAAATACAGACAAGATTAATTACTCTAAGTGACAGTGATTTGAGTTTTGAAAAAGCTGTAGACATGGCTCAAGTAATTGAAAAGGCTCAAAACGATTCAATAACAATCCAATCAAAATTCAATCATGAAAACAATGAATTGCCGGTTAACTTAAATGTTGTACAACAGAAAAGTTTTCAAAAACCTAAAAACAGTACCAATATTAAACAATGTTACCGTTGTGGAGAGTTACATGAATACATATCTGAATGCAAACACAAAAATACAACATGTAACTTCTGTAAAAAAATAGGGCATCTAGCAAAGATTTGTTTTAGGAATCCTAATGCACCTATCAAATTGCAAAGACAAAATAAGACTACATTTAACACTACTTCAAGAAATGTAAAACAAATAACAGACTCGTTCGAAGATCAAAATGAAATATTTCTACAACAAAATATGAACAATTCTGTTGGATCCCTCTATAAGGAAACTAATGTTATTGACATTTGTTCTATGAATACCTCAGAAGATAAATTTAGGAAAATTATGTTAAACATAAAAATAAATGGGAAACCTATTCCGTTTGAACTAGATACAGGAGCAGGAGTATCTTTGATGTCAAAAAGTAACTTTTCCAAGTTTTTTCCTAAACACAGACCTTTAATGAATCCAGACATAATCTTAAGAGATTTCAACAAAAATGAATTTGTTCCATTCGGTAAAACCATTGTTCAGGTTGGTTACGGTAACCAAACCAAATATCTTCCATTGTATATAGTCGATGGTAATAGAGATACGATATTTGGTAGGGAATGGCTGAGATCCATTAAAATAAATTGGTCAGACATACATAACGTTCACGGAGCTGACTTGGATAGAGTTAAACACTCAAATCCCAAAGTACACAATATTTTAATGGAATTTAAATCCATATTTGAACCAAGAGTTGGACGTTTCAAAGGGGGAGAAGCACTTCTTAACTTAAAGCCTGACACTACACCAGTTTTTAAAAAAGCTAGACCACTACCTTATGCTTTGTTACCAAAAGTTAGTGCAGAAATCGACAGACTAGAAAAAGAAGGTATAATTACAAAGGTGAATCAGAGTTCTTGGGCTACTCCAGTTGTACCGATTATGAAGGCAAATGGGAATATCAGACTGTGTGGAGACTACAAAGTAACCCTCAATCCCCATTTGGTAATACCAGAACACAACATGCCCCGCATTGATGATATTTTGGCCAGAATGGGTAATTCGACTAAATTTACAAAGATTGATATATCTGAAGCTTACCTACACATGCCAGTGAAAGAAGAATACAGAGAATTACTCACAATCAATACACATAAAGGTCTATATCGAGTAAATCGTCTACCATTCGGAATTGCAAGTGCACCTGCTATTTGGCAATCAGCAATGGAAAATATTCTACAAGGTATTGATGGTGTTGATGTTTTCTTTGACGATGTCAAAATAACAGCCCACAGTGATGAAGAACATTTGAAAAGACTCCGAGCTGTATTAAATCGGTTCAAAGACAACGATTTACACATTAATGTTTCTAAATCTCAATTCCTTGTACCAGAGATTGACTTTCTTGGTTACCATGTCTCGTCAAAGGGAATAAGTAAAAGTAAACATATTACTGAAGCAATAAGAAACCTGAAGAGACCAAGTAATGTGAAAGAAGTTAGACAAATCCTTGGTTTGATAAGTTACTATCGAAAGTTTATTCCAAACTTAAGTGAAAAGATGCAAGCCATTATTAATCTCACAAGAGCTAATGTACCTTTTAATTGGACTGAAGAATGTGAACATGATTTTCAATTGGTGAAGGAGGAAATGATGTCAGAGAATATACTATGCCATTTTGACCCACACTTACCACTCATTCTAGCAACAGATGCTAGTCAATCTGGAATTTCGGCAATTCTTTCTCATGTGTTTCCGGATGGAAACGAAAGACCTGTTGCATTTGCTTCCAAAACACTATCACAAACACAAAAACAGTACAGTGTCATACAAAAAGAAGCCCTGGCAATTTATTTTGGAGTTAAACACTTTTACCAATACCTTTATGGACGTCATTTCACCCTAGTTACAGACCACAAACCCTGGTATCTATATTTGGACCGAAAAATGGAATACCACTTATGGCCGCAACAAGACTACAACATTATGCTATATTCCTTCAGGCATTTTCATTTGACATAAAGTATAAATCAACCAAAGACAATGTTAATGCTGATGCACTTTCAAGACTACCTAAAAATGTTGAAGAAGCTGCTGTTATTGACTCAGCCGATGTTCATGAAATAGAACAAATCTACACTTTACCTGTCACAGCTGAAGAAATAGCAAAAAATACACAATCTGATCCAGATCTTAGAGATATTTATCAATCACTAATCAGAGGGGAGCCAATCCATCACCCGATGTCTTCTAACGAACAAGAATGGTCAATTCAGCTTGGATGCTTATTAAAAGGGAATCGTGTCGTGATTCCCAAACAACTTCGTGCAAGAATTTTGAAAGAACTTCATGAGGCTCATGTGGGTATAGTTCGCATGAAGGGACTAGCTCGTTCGTATGTTTGGTGGCCTAAAATTGATGCAGACATTGAGCATATGACCTTAAACTGTTTGGGATGTCAACGAGTACAGCATGAATCACCCAAAGCACCAGTTCACCATTGGGAATATCCTTCAAGGCCTATGCAAAGAATTCATGTTGATTTTGCTGGACCATTTTATGGCCATTATTTTCTCCTAATTGTGGATGCCTACAGTAAATGGCCAGAAATTGTAACACTTACAACCATAAATTCACATAAAACTATTGAGGCTTTGCGTAAATTCTTCGGCTCCTTTGGAATCCCTGACATATTAGTGTCAGACAACGGAAGGCAATTTGTTTCATTAGAGTTTGAAAAATTTCTTAAATCAAATGGAATTAGACACAAGAGATCAGCACCTTACCATCCTGCTACTAATGGTCAAGTAGAACGCTATGTGCAAGACTTGAAAGATACCATCAGAGCCATGCACTTTGAGGAAGGCTCTATCGAAATAAAACTGCAGAGATATTTAATGGCCTATCGAAGAGCTCCACATAGTACTACAGGACAATCTCCTTCACATCTCTTTATTGGACGTCAAATTCGATCAAGACTTGACTTATTGTATCCTGATTTGTCACAAAAAATGAACCAGAAGTTTGACACAGACTGTGACAGGCAAAAGTCCTTTAAAGCTCAAGACCGTGACAGGCAAAAGTCCTTTAAAGCTCAAGACCGTGACAGGCAAAAGTCCTTTAAAGCTCAAGACCGTGACAGGCAAAAGTCCTTTAAAGCTCAAGACCCTGTCGCCTACCGCCTCTATGGAACCTGCAACAAATGGGGGTTTGGAAAGATCAACAAAAAAGAAGGACCAAGAAATTATGAAATAACCACAAGCAGTGGCCCAATCAGACGACATCAAGATCAAATTAGACGCTCAGGGAGGGACTTGTGTGAATTTTCATTAAGGAATGAGCAAAATCAAGTATTCATACCAACAAATTTTGGAGAAGTCAGAGAGGAACCAACCGAAAACCACGCAACAAATTATCACAACATTAATCCAGAGGCCAATGATCCCAATATACCAGATGATCCAGAGACCAGTAACAACATGTCAGATGTTCCAGTGGCACCAGAGACCAGTAACAACATGTCAGATGTTCCAGTGGCACCAGAGACCAGTAACAACATGTCAGATGTTCCAGTGGCACCAGCTTCCGCTATGACAGTGAGACGATCAAAACGGACACATAAACCCGTCGATAGACTTAACTTATGAAACTCACTAAGAAGGGGAGGTGTTACATCCTAAATGTCTATCTTTACTTATTTACTTAAATTTATTCTATAACTAGCTGTGAGTACCCGTTCTTCGTACGGGTTTATTCAAGAATAAGGTTACAAACTTTTTGTAATAACAATGATTAATTTATTTTAACATAATTTAGTACATAAAAATACATTAAAAAACTTAAATCTTAAAAAATATTCAAAAGTTTTAAATAACAAAGTTGGCAAAGATAGCAGAGTTGAAGCGCTTAACATTTGTCACAGCGAAATTACAATATCAAAATTTCAAAAACAACAAATGACATACATTGAAAATAAATATTAAATAGTGAAGAAAAACAAAAAACACAAAAAATTAAAAGGTTGCCTAACTTAATGCCTCTTCATATACTATATTAGTGGTTCGACCGCCTGGGGCATGTATGTAAAGGTTGGTTGGCGATCGCACTCGGCTGCACGCCACGTACAGCTGTCCGTGTGAAAAACATTGCGCGTCACCTAGTTCAATCCCTGCTGTTGACAGTGTCTGACCTTGCGATTTGTTGATCGTCATGGAAAAACATGGATTTAAGGGAAATTGCAGGCGCTTAAACTCAAAGGGATAGTTGCTTGGGATGAGGGGGATCCGGGGGACAAACACCACTTCTCCCGCACCACAGCCTGTTAGAATTTCGGCTTCTATGACATTTCGCTGGAGACTTCGAATTCGAAGCCGAGTCCCATTGCATAATTTAGGAGGGTTTAAATTTCTTAGAAGCATAACGGGAATACCAATTTTAAGATTAAGTTCGTGGGCGGGTAGTCCAGGTGCTGTCACCGAGTCAAGAAACTCTGCCGGGTAGTGCACTGCGTCATCATTTCTTAGAACTGTGTTCACCGACAAATATGTCTTGTCCTCGCTTAGGAATAGGGACATCACTTTCTTATTTATCTTTGTTGAAACTTCATTTTTTGGAGTGAGAATAGCCCTATTGCATAACCAGGCACTGCTCTTGTTTGGGAGGTCTTCAATTCCTGGATAGACTTTCTCGATGAGTTCATCTTGGGTTTGAACAATAACACCAAGAGAAGGTGGTATATCGATAGTTCCATCAACGTTACCCAGCTTTCCATCTCCCAACTTTAACAGAACATTGGAGAATTCTTCCACCTCATTTCCAATATTGGCCCGCATGTTCTTTGTTAACGCCAGTTTGTTCATTATTGGCCATAGGGTAGATCTTTTCATAGAGGCGTTAATTTCATCCGCCCTTGTGCCTCTCACTACAACTGGCAGAGTTTGGCGGAAGTCACCAGAGAACAATACCGTCACTCCACCCATGATCTTATTACTGTTCCTCATATCTTTGAGTGTTCTGTCGAGGGCCTCGATTGTCAGTTTATTGGACATCGTACACTCGTCCCAGACTATTAAGGAGATGGTAACGCTCACTGCAGCTTGGATGGACAGTGTACACCCTACCGATGCACGGATCTTGTCTCACGTCAGGATGTCCTGGTACTGGTTGTCCTCTCCGCCTCCTGGACCAACCTCTTTGTTTAGAGTATGTGTAATAATAGGGCAACTCGTTGTAGAGGAGGGTTCTTGAAAAGGCGTCCGTCTGGCAGAGATTGAAGAAGGCCAAAAGAGTTGTACTTTGGTCCATTCTTTCCCGAACATTGCCTGGCTGGAAATATACTCTTTGCTCATTTGGAAGGTGGACCTCTAAATGCAACACAGCGGGAAACCTCTCATGTATAGGAAATGATAAAATTCTCCATACCGCCTCAGATGTGCATATATACCGACCACTTTGGTACATTTTAATTTCGTCTGTGTCATTACTTACTGCAAATGTGGCCTGGTCACTGCCCTTGTTTATGTACTTGCAGATGTACTTTATAGATTTTACACTGCTACAGTACTCAACGTTAACATGTGTTAGAAATGTTCGGGACAATACAGGCGAGTAAGGTACTACCCATCGGTTGTCCATAGGGATTTCATCGTTACCTACTCTGATTAGGACATGATGGCCTCCATCATCTGGGGAGCGCCTTCTGTATGTTGGGTATCCATTGTCTCCTGTTGCCGTTTCATTGACAAATGGTCTAGGGTATCTTTTGCTACAGTGACCATCCTTCATACACGGAAGCTTGCGCTGTCGCACATTAAAAGCTCCGCATGGTCCGTGCAGCATGTGAGTCTTGACTATATCTGCAAGTTCAGGATCAGTTTCAGGATTTGGAAGCTCTGCAGAAATGACTTGATCTATTCTATTTGGAGGAATGGATTCTTCAAGCCAAATCAGGATATGAGCGTGTGGAAGACCACGTTTCTGCCATTCAACAGAGTACATGTAGCAGCGAACTGAGCCATAAATCTGGCCTTTCATAAGAACAGCAATCATACAGTTAAGCTTCAAATGAAAAACTCGTGATACCACATCATACCGGTTGTGAGCAGACTGCCTTTCTCCAATTACACTCGTGATTTCTATCCATTTTGGATTTGTTGTCATTGTTATGAAAAGTTCTGGACGACCAAACTTCCGAACATAGCAAAAGGCGTCCTGTGTGCGAGAATGCATATATCTAGGACCTCCAGTGAAGGTGGCAGGTAAAATTATCTTTTGCCCCATTTCTTCTACGTTGTCGTCTCGTCTTAAAGCGTCTTGAAGGTGTATGTAATTCTCTGCTCTCAGTTCCTTTTGGTGCGTACGAAGATACAGCAGCCTTTCACTCTCAACTTTAGCGTACATGTCCACCAAGTACTGGTTCAAAAGCTGTTTGAATTTATGAATGTGATTTGCTTCACCTTCTCTAACCATAATGCGATAGGCGTAAAACTCTCGTGAGCTAGTTTTCTTTGTGGTTGGTTGTTTAGTAACCGGGTTTACATGATATAAATTGAAACTATATCCATCTTCGCCTCTACAAAACATAAGGGGATATTGTAGGGCATCATAAGATCGGTGGGTTTCATATATTCGTTTCAAACCCTGTTCTCTTGAATTTAAAATGATGTCTCGATGGTCACTTGGATCCCCAATCATCAAAATAGCAACCTCATTGACTGTTGGTTCATTGTATCTACCTGGGTGGTCCCCTGCAGGGCGTCTGTCGGCTCTAATAACAATTTTGAAATCAGGTGAATCTACAGGAAATGTTTCTAAAGTAGTTTTGAAGCTGAGCAAGTAGGCGTTATTATTCTGAAGCATGTTTTGCAAAGCGGCCAACATGTCATGATCAAGGTCTTGAAATAAACTTTGCCTTCTTTGAAGCTGGACTTGGTCATCCCCAACAAAGTAAATCTGAAGGTAAGACGGCGGAAGTCCAGGGGGTGGCAAAAGAGAGCCGATCAAATGGTACACTTGTCCTTGAACCTTAAATGTAGGCATATATGGTCCTTCACGGATTTCATTACCTCCAAAAGAAGTCATTTGGAACGCACTATTGTAGGCCCTGATATGTCTAAGAAAATTTCGCGATTGAGGTGATTCGTCCGATATCCATGTACGTAGCGGCTCAGGTGCTTCCAAAATAGACGGTATGGACACTTTACCAGAAGCACAACATATTCCACGTGGTTCCTTTGACCAACTCAAAGCGTGACAAAACCTACAAACTTTATCAAAATCTCCAATATTGGCAGCTTCACTGTAACGTGTAAAAGGATCATATTGGAATCCACTGTTGTGTGTGTCTCGCCATTCTGTTAAATTTCTTTCGACATGCCGAGTTTTTTCCCGCGCGATCCTAGTTTGTCTTTCTGCGTCGCTCTCAACGACTCTGTTCACCCTATGTCTTTCAGAATCAGCGGCAACACGGGCATTTCTGTCAGCAATGTCCTGGCTTGCTCGAAGTTCCTCCACTCGGGTCGCCTCGTCATGCAAAAGTAGAGTTTGCTCTTCAACAGTGCGACGGTACCTATCATTGTCGATTATATGTCTAGCTTCCCGCTCTTCAGGAGTTTCATTATTCCTACGTTGGTTTTGCCGAACTCTATCTCGTTCTTGCCTACTTTCTCTCTCTTCTCTTGTTTCATTTTCCCTCCTGCGAACGTGTAGGATTCGGTCACTGTTTCGACGTGCTCCTCCCTCCTCCACTGTCTCGTTTTCCCTCCTTTGAACATGTAGTATTCGGTCACTCTCCCGACGTGCTTCTTGCTCCTCCTCTGTTTCGTTTTCCCTTCTCTGGACGTGTAATATTCGGTCATTGTTCCGACGTGCTTCTTGCTCCTCCTCTGTTTCGTTTTCCCTCTTCCGTACGTGTCGTATTCGGTCACTGTTCCGACGTGCTTCTCGCTCCTCATCTGTCTCGTTTTCCCTCCTCTGAACATGTAGTTTTCGGTCACTCTCCCGACGTGCTTCTTGCTCCTCCTCTGTTTCATTTTCCCTCTTCCTTACGTGTATTATTCGGTCACTGTTCCGACGTGCTTCTCGCTTCTCATCTGTCTCGTTTTCCCTCCTCTGAACATGTAGTATTCGGTCACTCTCCCGACGTGCTTCTTGCTCCTCCTCTGTTTCGTTTTCCCTCCCCCGAACGTGTAGTATTCGGTCACTGTTCCGACGTGCTTCTCGCTCAACCTCTGTCTCGTTTCCCCTCTTCTGAACTTGCTGTATTCGGTTGCTGCACCGACGTGCATCTCGCTCCTCTTCTGTCTCATTTTCTTTTCTCTGGACGTGCCGTATTCGGTCCCTGTTCCGTCGAGCTTCTCGCTCCTCTTCCGTCTCATTTTGTATTCTTTGGCTAAATCTTAAACGTTCAGTGTCTCGCCTGCTTTCACGTTCTTTTTCATTCTGCTGAGACCTAAATAGGGCGACACGCTCTCGACTGGTTGAAGGTCGTGCATAATCTTCAACCACAACGGAACTTAAAATTGTCGACTCATTATTGCTATGTACACCATCATCAGAGTCCGAATCATCATAATCAACTGATTCCGTGGATACACACAATTTTTGTCTCTTGGCATTATTTGTTTTTCTACCCAAATTGCTTTTTCTCTTGCGAGGCATACTCTTCAGGACATATTTATTTAGAAACAATAGAAAATATTTCAACAAATAATGTATTAAAGATTAACTTGTAACCTCTCAACTAAAGCAACAAAAATATTGTCCATATGTTTAGTTGTAAACAAATTTAATTTGTGTTTGACACTATGTCAACGAATATCTCTACTGTACAGTATGAAACATCTGATTGATGCAAATTCATATGGGAATATGAACTTTTTTAAAAACATTACCTCAAAAAAAAATAAATTAAAAGAAGAGTAGATTTTCTTTTATTTATAAACGTGAAATAATTTAGGACATTATTAACTATTATAACTTTTATTTTGGTGTAAAGAGTAATGAACAATAATAAACTGGTCAAGTTTGTTTGCTGGTTAGTAGCGCACAGATATTAAAGAATAACAATCAGCTGATCGTAATTTTGTTATCTAAAATGTTTAACTTTTATATTGAATACTTTGTATTGAATCTGTAATTTGAATTAAATTTACTTCTAACCAATTAATGTATTATTATTTTAATTATTTGTACGGTAATGGATGAAATGTACAAAACCCATTGTTATAATTAGCAGAACTGGTGTTCAGTTATATAATATAGTATACATTTTGTATGGTTTTTAAGTTGTGTGAATCGATAAGGCTATGGTTAACCTTGAGTTCAAATAGGCTAACGTTTTCTAATCACAGCTGTATGCCAATGTCAAAATTAAGATTGTATTTCAATTAAAACCATGTGCATATGATTAGTTGTAAACAAAGCAACATTCTTCCAGAAATTCCACGTCAAAAATCGACAAAAACTTGATTTTCAAGGGTTTACTGTTAAATATCTAACTGTCTCATATTCGATGAAATACGTCTAAAACCATCTCATATATGTATAGTATTTGGAAAATAAGTTTCAGGCGGGACAGTGCTATAGTTATTGAGGAGTAGTTGTAATAAAGTGCGTATTTTAGCGTTACCAAGAGAATGACAGATAGACAGACAGACAGACAGACAGACAGACAGACAGAAATTGAGATAAGGTTTGATTCGGTTTCTCTGACCTATGAAATGTAAAAATAACCAAAAAGTTCATTATTCTAAGCAATGTACAGACAAAACTCTAATTTTATTTATATAGACTATTATCAGCTGGTTATAATGTTTACATGTTCACTTTGTTTTTAATATGTGTTGAATAAAGTTGGTTAAAATTGTACCTTGATAAATACATTTATTATTTGTTCTAAATACATACAGAACAACAATGATTCAAAGTTTTTCTTTATTAATCCATAATTTTAGGAAGTGGTTTATTGGAAGGTTTTGTTTTATATTTGCAAGGTCAAAATTAAATTTAACCAGGATGTCTAGTAGTCGGGGAAAACGGGAAAGTCAGGTATTAGTATTGAATTTCAAAATGGTCTGGAAAAGTTGGGATTTAGTCTTTATTTTGATATCAAAGTCGGTAAATTTCATGATTTACCGCTACTCAATTGCGCTAGACAACGATCACGTTTCCGTGATGGCGCAAGACGATGATGTGTCTACACGACCGCGGGAGATGTTCTTAAACCGCGACTGTGCTAGACGACGTTTTCGTGACCACGGACCACGGGAAAAATGATCACGTCTTTTCTGCGATCGCGCAAGACGATTGTATATACGGCCGCTGAAGATGTTCACAATTTTGCCGCAATCGAGGACGACGATGACGTTTCGTGACCACGGCATTCAATGATGATGTCTACACAGCCGCGGTAGATGTTCATGATTTTGACGCGATTGCAGAAGACGACAATAGCGATTAGTAATCATTTCGTTTGCAAGAGTGGTAGTGCTGGTAACAGCTGGCGAGAAGTCGACGACGACACTGAATCGAATACCGATAACTGATATCGAATGGCAAAAAGCTCTAGCGGCAGTCTATATTTACTCTATTGTCTATGACTATAGTATTACTCATCTACCATAGCCATAATGTTCTACCACTTCACCCAAACAAAAGAAAAAAATTAATTATTAAAGATTCACAAAATATCACAAATTATTCGTGAAATTAAAAACATAAACATAACTGTAAACAGACAGTTACCATTGTGTATCACAGTTTTTTGTTGCTGCTTAGTTCAAATTAGCTGTTTTCATAAATGAAAAAAAAATAATAGTGCTGCATCCTGTTGGTAAATCTTATAACTTTTAACGCCTTTGCATATCATAGAACCAACCTTTTTAGTTGAAACAGCTGACTAAATTCTTTAATTCCATTTAAATATGAGTAAAGGTTAACATGGGAAACTCTAGAGCCACTAAGGCGGAGCCCAAAAGGATTTTTGAGATAAAAATATGCCTATACCTATGTTAATCGTGAATGTGAGCTATCATCATGCCAAATTTGAGCCCAATCCATCCAGTAATTAACACGTGATTGAACTTCAAACACACAAACGAACAAACAAACACACAAACTTTCACATTTGTAACATTAGTAAGATAGTAGCCTTTCTCATTTCACATGATCTGACAAGCACGGTGTCTCATCAAACTAGTATGATCGTTTTTGTTCAAGCTCCTACATATGAGCAATCGATGTATCTAAGGTTTAATGGGTGTTGGGGAAAAATAACTAATTTAATTCTGTGCTGGTATTAACATTTTTTTACCACAAAAAGATGTGAAACTACTTTATTGTTACCAGTTGTGTGGGGGCAATAAACTATAAACAAATAACTTGATCTTTCCACATATTTAGACTGGTGTAGTTGTACAGCGTAAGTCTCCGGTTCCGAAGATAACGGATTCACATCCTGGAAATCACCATGACAATTTGATAGATGGCCACCCTGTGCGTTGCTATTCATGAACGTTGGTGCGGCCATCTTTAAATGCCCTTACCCACCTGCGTAGGTACCATTCCGCCACTCATAATTTTCTCCTCATACACTTCACTTATCTGTCAATGAATTTAAATGGCTTTCACACCTTTAGCACTTAAAAATCTAATTACCGGTACAGCGCAAACTTCACAGGCGACGGCAGTCTCAATTGGCGGCACCGTTTTGAATGCTCTAAACCGGATGTAAACACAGCCGATTTGTGCCGAATTTCCAGCGCAGGCTTGCCAATACATCCACATACACAGCACAAATGTCCAAAATGCCAATCGCAGCACTGAAACGGAGAATTTTAAAAACAGTACTTACTTAAATAACATGCCTTGTATTATTCTGTCACCATAGGTAACTCTGAAACTTGAACAGTGCTGTAAGTTGATTAAAGTGTATTTTTTTCCAAATATAAAAACTTAACCGCCACAGCACATCATAAGTTAACACGATGACTGCTGAAAACAACGTACAGGCGCTCCCCAGTGGCGTGCGAAGCCCCGGCACGCAACCGAATCAGCGAACGCAATTGGCATTCAAATATTTCAGTCTGACGAATCACAAAAGAGCAGTGGTGACTGTGCTGCGTTACCCCGAGAGTGGATGTAGTTCACTGAAACACCCAAAGGTAGCAGCACTGCACGGATCCGTATCCAGTGTCTTTGTAATGTGGGTTGAAGAGAAAAAATCCCCGAAACCGGGACAAAAGCATTGCCAGACAGGATTTTACGGGAAATTTTAGTACCAACCTACACCAAAGTAAAGCTCGCATTCTAAGCTGGCAGGCTGGCAACGATTATAACGTCTACGTCTGAGGCTAAGCTCACACTGACTCAATATATTTCTGTTGGTCTGGTGCCGACTTTTGTCGGCGCGCGCCACATTGAAGTGCTAGCGACGCCGACTAGAGTCGGCGTTAGCAGTCAACGTGTTAATGTTAAACAAGGACTGAAAATGCTTTTTAATCATATTGATAACTTAGCCAAACTTACTTATCTTTATTGCTTTCGATTCTTTTCCAAGAAAATTTCTCTCCTTCTTATTTGGCCCCAAATAAGCAGACAACTTATTGTTTACATGTGAAGTACTCTCATACATTAACACCAAACATTTGCAATGCTCCAAGCTTTACAAGAAAATTTACCTGGAACAAAAATAGGCAGTGTACATCATTCAGGCCTACTTCTTGTTAAAAGTAAAAACAGAATATAGAACTATAGCTCAAGGTAGGGCATATTTTCTTTGTACAAATATTTGGATTGGTAGATAAAAACTTAAAAACTCGAAGGCCACTGGTTCTCTCGGACCCAAGTGTCATTACCCAGGTGGAACTAATAAAGTGTGTTTTTTATTAAAACATTAATAGCTTAGTATAAAATAAAGCTTTCAAGTTTGATTTATAAAAATAAATATAGCCTATATATATATATAGTTTAAAATATAAATTAAGCTTTTTGTTGGTCGCAAAACATAAACAAATAAAAAGTAGAAGAAGGTAGCTTCTAATGTTATTCTTATGGGACAAATTTAAAAATGTATTTTGAGGGTTTTATAATTACTACTGAACGGAATCGTCTAAATTTTATGGTGACTTTCCATTGGTGTCATAATTAAGATTCGTGCAATTTTTTAACACTATAGGTGCAACGGTTAGCTTGAGTTTTTTATGCGAACACTTACACACACACAGTTAAGCGGACAACTAATCCACGACTCCACTATACACAACACGATACATAGATGACATATTATTTTTTTTAAATTTCTTTAGAAAGGTCTAGAGAATAATTGATAAATTTTGTGTTTTAAGGGTAAAAAATGAGAAAACCCCATTTTTTGGCCTAGGCCCCTTCTCTCCATAGAACCATAGACTAAGCAACACAAGTAGACTCTTCATCCCATTGTAAATTTTGAAGCTTGTTTTTTGTGTCTAGTTCATGTACGTCCACACAGATCGCTAGTGTAGACAACATTTTGTTTCTATTATTTTAGAGTTATTTTCATGATTTGTGCTTTACTATTTGGTTATATAACTAGGAGACCAGTTATTGTTTATGATTATATCGTTTTATTAGGTTAAACGAGGTTTTAAATGACTGCAATAACAAGAAACAAATTGTAAACA